GTGATTCTGTGATTGTGATTCTGTGATTGATTCTGATTCTGTGATTCTGTGATTGATTCTGTGATTGTGATTCCATGGTTGATTCTGTGATTCTCTGATTGAATCTATGATTCTATGATTGTATGATTGATTCTGACTGATTCTGTGATTCCATGATTGATTCTGTGATTTCAAACCTCAGCTGATATCTCTRTAAAAATCACTATATTAAAAATCAGCTACTCCTTCAAACCACCAAACATGATCCCCACAGTTCTGGGCAGAGAAAAAGGATTTCTGGTGTCTCTAAACTGCTAAAACCTTCGTTTCACTGTCTTAACTCATTCTGAACGACAGCAGCAAGAAGTGTTTTAGTTTCAGTTTTAGTTTAGAGCATTTCCAGCTGAAAGCAGATCCCTTCAGAGCCCAYGTGCTGGCTGAATTTCCAGACATCACCACGGGCTGTGGGAGCCCAGCTCAGCCCCTCATCACAGCCACAACCCCAGCACGGGCTCTGACCTGACATTTCCACTGCTAAACCCTTCTCCTCTGCAAACACCAGGCAGGCAGGTTTCTATGGAAACTCAGATGCATAGTTGGAGTGTTTTTGGCCAACAGGATTTGCCCATACCACGAAGGGAAAGAAATCTGCCTTTGTTCTGAGGCAAACAGCAAATGAATATTCAGCTCTGAYTGATGCCCTCTGGACAAGCAACAGATTTTACAAACTCTGAAATTTGTTTGTTCTTCTAATAAAAGCCTGGAATCCCAGACATTGGTTTGGTGTGGGTTGAACCCACGGAGGTGCACAAAAATGAGTATCCAACCCATCAATAATCCTGAATTTATCAGGAAATCCCRAGGTTTGGTGCAACAGAGATCAGGAATGATAACCAGGGTGGGTGTGAGGAATGGAGGATGAAGGAGGGTGAGCACAGCCTCAATTCACTAATGAGGGATGCTCATTAGTGACTCATTTTGGTGTTCACCATCCATCAGGAAGCCCCGGGGGACAGATCAGAGGGATCCATTCATAAACCATGAGCTCAGCCATCCCTAATCCTCATCCACTGCTGGGGACTCACTTTCTCCCAGGGTTTTCTGCAGGAGGTCATGCTTGGCCTGCAGCTTCGTGATCAGGTTCCTGCCTTCCAGGTATTCCTTCATTTTCTGTGAGGGGCAAAAAAAAAAAAGGTTGTGAGTGCACAGTTCAGGTCTGGGAGTGAGTATTGGGGGGGGTGGATTGTGAGGAGAAGGATGGAGTGACGCTGAATGGACAGAGTGACATGGAATGGACAGTGACAAAGAATGGACAGAGTGACACTGGATGGACAGAGTGACACAGAATGGACAGAGTGACACTGGATGGACAGAGTGACAGAGAATGGACAGAGTAACATTGAATTTACAGAGTGACACTGAATGGACTGAGTGACATTGAATTTACAGAGTGACACTGAATGGACTGAGTGACATGGAATGAACAGAATGACACTGAATGGACAGAGTGACATTGAATTTAGAGTGACACTGGATGGACAGAGTGACA